TGCCGGGTGCAGATCACCACCGAGACCGACAAGCTGAGGTTCTTCGGCTTGGTCCGGGACCAGATCATGTGGATGGAGTCCATCATCTGCCAGATAGGCGCAGGAGAAAAGCCCAGGTGGCCACACAGAGCACAACCCCTTTTTTGTCACATAAAAACATAAAGTTTAGTTTAAAATAATTTGAAAACGGCATTTAAACTCAAATGTATCATCTTGAAGTTCTTAATTTATCTGTTTTCTGATTCACTGTTTGTTAAACTTGTACTTCCTGTCTGACCAGCAGAACCACAAACAAGTTCCTCTACGTTTCTGGTCCTGATGTTTTATATTTTAAATCCTGATGAGGTTGAAAGACAACAGCATCCTGTCATTTTACAGCGGATTCAGCTAAGCTGAATACTTACAAGCCCTCATGGACAGAACTCACCTGCTGTCTTTCAACCACTTTGAAAAGCATGACATTTTTTTTCCTTCTCCCTTTTCCATTTGAGGTTTAGTCCCCCCTTTCTGTTCTGACTTTTCTCCGTCTCTACTGTCCTGTAATAGACAGTTCAAAAGAAAGCGATCATGTTTCAGCAGGAACTAATCGACGACGTAATCATATGATAACACGTGCAAAAGTGCTGTTAAATGAAGAAAAAATGCACACAAAAAAGTTAAATGCAAAAAAAGGCACCAAAAAGAAGTTGATTGCTAGAAAAAGCACAAAAGAAGTTAAATGCAAAAAAAGTCCACCCAAAAAGTTGTTAAATGCAAAAAAAAGGCACCAAAAAAAGTTTAATGCAAAAGAAAAAGCACAAAAAACATTTAATGCAAATAAAACACGACAAACGCAAAACGTTTTATGCAAAAAACAACACAAAAAGCCAAAACAAAAATGGTTAAATACAGAAAATGCTCACTAAAACTCACTTTACGGCGCCCGCTCACGCGCCCCCCTCCAGCCGGTCCACCCCCCCCCCCCCCGCCCCCCCCTCCAGCTGGACGAAGGGGGCGGCTAACCCTCTCTGGCTCCCACAGGGACGTGTCCTCCGTGGAGGTGCTGATGAACTACCACCAGAGCCTGAAGAGCGAGGTGGAGGCCCGCAGCCAGAGCACGCTGGACTGCGTGGAGATGGGGAAAACCCTGCTGGCCGTCAGGAACCCCGCGGCCGAGGAGGTGAGACCCCCCCACACCCCCCTCCTCAGAGGGTCCAGACCTCCTGGGGGGGTCCTCAGAGTGACGCAGACCTGAGTCTGATGTGTCTGTGTTTGCAGATTAAGGACAAACTGGACAAGGTGATAGCCAAGCAGCACGAACTGACCGAGAAGTGGGACAAGCACTGGGAGTTCCTCCAGCAGCGTGAGTGCCCCCAAAACAGTCAATTCAACTCAATTTTTGTTTTATTTCTTTAGCTCCAAATCACATCTCAGAGCTTTCCAAACTGAGCAGGAATCTGAAGTTATTTACAGAAGAACAACTATTCCCACCAAGAGCAGCACTAGGAGACACAGGGAAGGAAAAACTGCCTTTTAACAGGCAGAAACCTGGAGCAGAACCACAGTTCAGGGTGGGTGGGGGGGCATCTGCCTTGGCTGGTTTGGGGTGAAAGAGAGAGAGAGAGAGGGCAAGAGAGAGGGAGAGAAGGACAGAGGGAGCAGAGGGAGGAAGCCTACACGTTAAAACATAGAAGTACAGATAAATAAAGGTAGAGTTTCTATAGACTGGATGAAAAGGGGTACAGATATTGATAGTAATGTTGTTGATAATGATAGATCTGCCCAGTTTCCCAGCTCTTTGGGAATCCTCAGAAATCCTGTTTCCTGTCTGTCAGACTGGGTTTCCTTTGGCCTTTTTCACACATCAGCTAAAGAAACTAAAGAAAGAGCCCAGAGATCCACTTTAAACTGGACACATCACTGGCTCACCCCTTGAGTTAGGGGCCTTTATTGGGCCTGAATGATTCATAGGTCAAGTGGCTAAAGAAAAAAAAATTTCTAAAAACGTTCAGAACAAAAAAACTGGACTGGAAAAGACTTTAAAAAAGCAGCAAAAATCCAAATAAAAACTTCAAAAGATTGTCAGGAAGCCACAGAAAAAAAGGCTCCTGAGAGGGAAACGCACTCGTAAAACATCCTGATCTGAGAGCAGAATCTGCCTTTCCTCCCTGTGACTGTCCCCCCTGGTGTCTGCCCCCCCCCCCCCCAGTGCTGGAGGTGCACCAGTTTGCCCAGGAGGCGGTGGTGGCCGAGGCCTGGCTGACGGCGCAGGAGCCCTTCATCAGCAGCAGCGAGCTGGGCGCCAGCGTGGACGAGGTGGAGCAGCTCATCCGCCGCCACGAGGCCTTCAGGAAGGCCGCCGCCACCTGGGAGGAGCGCTTCAGCTCCCTGAGACGGCTCACCACGGTAACCCCCCCCACGCACACAGACTGGGCTTCGCTGCAAGACTAAAAGCTGTAAAGCAAAATCTCATGAGACAAAAGAGCTTCAAATCTCAATCAATCAATCAATCAAAATGTGTTTATATGGAACTTTCCAACAACCCTAACCCATCACAGGGACACACAGAGACACACAAGGACCAACAACCACACACACTCACACTAAGGGCAGTTTGGAGTCCAACCAACCTAATATCAGATCTGGGTCAGACCTGGATCAGATCTGAATCAGAACCTGGTTCAGAACCGAATCAGATCTGGATCGGACCTGAATCAGACCTGGATTCAGACATGAATCAGAATCAAATCAGACCCAAATCAGACCTGGTTCAGACCTGGATCAGATCTGGATTCAGACCTGAATTACACCTGGTTCAGACCTGGTTCAGACCTGGTTCAGACCTGGATCAGACCTGGATCACACCTGAATCAGACCTGGATCAGACCTTAATCGGATCTGGATCAGACCTGGATCAGACCTGGATCAGACTTTGGATCAGACCCTGGATCAGACCTAG